AAACCAACATTCTTTTGTAATCCCATTACTCGGAAATCCCAACATTACTTGGTAATACCAAAAATTATCTGGAAAACCCAAACTTTTTCCTGGAAATACCAAAATTATTTGGTAATACCAACTTTACTTGGTAATACCAACAAAATTGGTAATTAACATTATCTGAAAATACCAACTTACTTTGTAATACCAACATTACTTGGGAAAACCCCAAATTACTTGGTATTCCCACTTATTTGGGGGTAATACCAACTTACCGGGTAATACCAATTACTCTTTTAATCCAACTTTAAACTTGGTAATACCCAACATTCTTGGAAATTACAACATACTTTTGTAATCCCAACTTTACTTTGTAATACCAACATTCTTGGAAATTTCCATTATTGGGAAAATACCAAATTTTTCTCGGGTAATAAAACATTACTTGGAATAAACATTACTCTGGTAATACCAACTTTTACTCTGGTAATCCAAATTACTCTGGTAATACAAATTACTGGTAATAAACATTACTCGGGAAATTTAAACCAAACTTTCCCCTGGTAATCCACATTACTCTGGTAATCCCCAACTTACTTGGAAAAAAACTTACTCGGGGTAATCCAAATTACTCTGGTAATACCAAATTACCTGGAATAAACATTCTCTGGAAATACCAAATTCTCTGGTAATACCAACTTTTCTTGGTAATAAACATTACTTGGTAATACCAACTTACTCTGGAATCCCAACATTCCCTTTGGTAATACCAACATTACTCGGTAATCCCACATTAGGGTAATATTACATTATTTTGGGTAAAACAACTTACCTGTAATCCCAACATTACCTGTAAAAACCAAATTACTTGGGTAATCCCAAACATTATTTGGGAAAAACCCCAATTACCTGGTTACAACATTACTTGGTAAACCCACATTAAACCTGGTAATACAAATACCGGTAATCCGCTTACCGGGGTAATCCCAAAACATTCTTGGTAAAAAAAATTACTCTGGTAATACCACTTTAACGGTAATCCCAAACATTCTTGTAACCAAAATTTTACCTGGTAATACCACATTACTGGTAATCCCACATTCTCGGGAAATACCCATTACTTGGTAATACAAATTACCTGGTAATACCAAATTATTTGGGTAATCCCAACATTACTTGGTAATACCAACATTCCGGGTAAACTAACTTTTCCGGTTACCACATTACCTGGTAATACCAACTTACTCGGTATAAACATTACTCTGGTAATCAACATTCAGGGGTTTTACCAACATTACTCTGGTAATCCCCAACATTACTCTGGAAATACCAACATTATTGGAAATCCCCAAATTATTTGGGTAATTTCCACTTCCCGGTAATCCCACATTATCGGTAATCCCAATTACTCTGGTAATCCCAAATTCTGGGAATACACATTACTCGGTAATCCCAACATTACTTGGAAATACCAACTTTACTTGGTAATATAACATTACTCTGGTAATACCAGCATTACTCGGGTAATACTAACATTACTCTGGTAATACCAGCATTACTCTGGTAATACTAACATCACTCTGGTAATACCAGCATTACTCTGGTAATACCAGCATTACTCTGGTAATACTAACATTACTCTGGTAATACCAGCATTAATCGGGTAATACCAGCATTACTCTCGTAACACCAGCATTACTCTGGTAATACCAGCATTACTCTGGTAATACCAACATTACTCTGGTAATACTAACATTACTTTGTTAATACCAACATTACTCTGGTAATACCAACATTACTCTGGTAATACTAACATTACTCTGGTAATACCAACATTACTCTGGTAATACCAACATTACTCTGGTAATACTAACATTACACTGGTAATACCAACATTACTCTGGTAATACCAACAGTACTCTGGTAATACCAACATTACTCTGGTAATACCAGCATTACTCTGGTAATACCAGCATTACTCTGGTAATACCAGCATTACTCTGGTAATACCAGCATTATTCTGGTAATACCAGCATTACTCTGGTAATACCAACAGTACTCTGGTAATGACAACAGTACTCTGGTAATACCATCATTACTATGGTAATACCAAGATTACCCTTGTAATACCAACAGTACTCTAGTAACACTAGCACTGCTCTGGTAATCCCAACAGTACTCTGGTAATACAAAAAGTACTCTTATACTACCAACAGCATTCTGGTAATACCAACATTTCTCTGATAATGCCAACAGTACTCTGGTAATACAAAAAGTACTCTTATACTACCAACAGCATTCTGGTAATACCAACATTTCTCTGATAATGCCAACAGTAGTCTGATAATACCAACATTACTGTGGTAATACCAATAGTACTCTAGTAATACCAAAAGTACTCTAGTAATACCAACAGTACTCTAGTAAAATTGGCATTATTCTGGTAATACCAACAGTACTCTGGTAATACCAACAATAAACTGATAATACTAACATTTCTCTGTTAATACCAACAGTACTCTAGTAACACTAACAGTATTCTGGTAATAACAATAGTGCTCTGGCAGTGCCAACAGTACTCTGGTAATACCAACAGTACTCTAATAACACTAGCATTATTCTGGTAATACCAACAGTGCTCTAGCAACACTAGCATTATTCTGGTAATACCAACAGTACTCTGGTAATACCAACTACTCTAGTAACACTAGCATTACTCTGGTAATACCAGCAGTACTCTGGTTATACCATCAGTACTCAGATAATACCAACAGTACTCAGATAATACCAACAGTACTCTGATAATACCAACAGGACTCTGATAATACCAACAATAAACTGATAATACCAACAATAAACTCATAATACTAAGTTTTTTCTGGTAATACCAACAGTACTCTAGGAACACTAGCATTATTCTGGTAATACCAACAGTACTCTAGGAAACATAGCATTATTCGGGTAATACCAACAGTACTCTAGGAACACTAGCATTATTCTGGTAATACCAACAGTACTCTAATAACTCTAGCATTATTCTGGTAATACCAACAGTACTCTAGGAACACTAGCATTATTCTGGTAATACCAACAGTACTCTAGGAACACTAGCATTATTCTGGTAATACCAACAGTACTCTAGGAACACTAGCATTATTCTGGTAATACCAACAGTACTCTAATAACTCTAGCATTATTCTGGTAATACCAACAGTACTCTAGGAACACTAGCATTATTCTGGTAATACCAACAGTACTCTAGGAACACTAGCATTATTCTGGTAATACCAACAGAAACTCTAGGAAACCCATAGCATTATTCTGGTAATACCAACAGTACTCTAGGAACACTAGCATTATTCTGGTAATACCAACAGTACTCTAGGAACACTAGCATTATTCTGGTAATACCAACAGTACTCTAGGAACACTAGCATTATTCTGGTAATACCAACAGTACTCTAGGAACACTAGCATTATTCTGGTAATATCAACAGTACTCTAGGAACACTAGCATTATTCTGGTAATACCAACAGTACTCGAGGAACACTAGCATTATTCTGGTAATACCAACAGTACTCTAGGAACACTAGCATTATTCTGGTAATACCAACAGTACTCTAGGAACACTAGCATTATTCTGGTAATACCAACAGTACTCTAGGAACACTAGCATTATTCTGGTAATACCAACAGTACTCTAGGAACACTAGCATTATTTGGTAATACCAACAGTACTCTAGGAACACTAGCATTATTCTGGTAATACTAACAGTACTCTAGGAACACTAGCATTATTCTGGTAATACCAACAGTACTCTAGGAAACACTAGCATTATTCTGGTAATACCAACAGTACTCTAGGAACACTAGCATTATTCTGGTAATACCAACAGTACTCTAGGAACACTAGCTTTTATTCTGGTAATACCAACAGTACTCTAGGAACACTATCATTATTCTGGTAATACAAACAGTACTCTAGGAACACTAGCATTATTCTGGTAATACCAACAGTACTCTAGGAACACTAGCATTATTCTGGTAATACCAACAGTTCTCTAGGAACACTAGCATTATTCTGGTAATACCAACAGTACTCTAGGAACACTAGCATTATTCTGGTAATACTAACAGTACTGTAGGAACACTAGCATTATTCTGGTAATACCAACAGTACTTTAGGAACACTAGCATTATTCTGGTAATACTAACAGTACTCTAGGAACACTAGCATTATTCTGGTAATACTAACAGTACTCTAGGAACACTAGCATTATTCTGGTAATACTAACAGTACTCTAGGAACACTAGCATTATTCTGGTAATACCAACAGTACTCTAGGAACACTAGCATTATTCTGGTAATACCAACAGTACTCTAGGAACACTAGCATTATTCTGGTAATACCAACAGTACTCTAGGAACACTAGCATTATTCTGGTAATACCAACAGTACTCTAGGAACACTAGCATTATTCTGGTAATACCAACAGTACTCTAGGAACACTAGCATTATTCTGGTAATACCAACAGTACTCTAGGAACACTAGCATTATTCTGGTAATCCCAACAATACTCTGGGAACACTAGCATTATTCTGGTAATACCAACAGTACTCTAGGAACACTAGCATTATTCTGGTAATACCAACAGTACTCTAGGAACACTAGCATTATTCTGGTAATACCAACAGTACTCTAGGAACACTAGCATTATTCTGGTAATACCAACAGTACTCTAGGAACACTAGCATTATTCTGGTAATACCAACAGTACTCTAGGAACACTAGCATTATTCTGGTAATACTAACAGTACTCTAGGAACACTAGCATTATTCTGGTAATACCAACAGTACTCTAGGAACACTAGCATTATTCTGGTAATACTAACAGTACTGTAGGAACACTAGCATTATTCTGGTAATACTAACAGTACTCTAGGAACACTAGCATTATTCTAGTAATACTAACAGTACTCTAGTAAAACTAACCATAATATGGTTGCTCTCTCAGGTGAGCGTGTACAACAGTGTTGGTGGTACTGACAGTGAAACTATCACTGTTCAACTGATGGAGAGAGGTAAGTACTGGAGACTTCTTGGTACTGTTATTGTAATGAAGGAATTCAGCGGAACTTATTATTCAGACTTGAGTCTTGTGAAAGGGGGGATTACTGTATAACTCTTGTGGGTTTAGTGCTTTTGATTGTAATAATTGTGAAGGAGGATTATTATTATAATCATGGGGAGCGCTAAACCCGTAGGATTATACAGCGCATGTCGGGGGGGGGGGGGGTTGGAAGGTATTCAGGGAACCAGAGCACAGATCCAATTCCCTAGATCAAGAGCCCCTTACCAGCCTCAAGGAACCTCCCCTGATGGGTTGTGAAGGAGCTGAGAAGTGACTGTACGGTTGTGTTAATTGTAATGTCTGCTTACTTTGTCAATATAGAGTAAGAATTAGTATTAGTCTGCCCGAAATGCCTAGGCCTGCTAGTGGCCTTCTTTGTAATTAATATTTTTTTATATGTAAACCACACAGCAGGGGGGAATGGCAAGTTATTTTAAACCAACATACTTAGAAACTAGCATTTTTTGGGGTAATCCCAACAGTACTCAAAAAAAATAATTGGTTCCCCTTCTCAGGTAAGCTTTTGGAAAACAAAAAGTTTTCTGGAACATAATATTTTGGTTTCAATATGGGAAATAGATACTGGAAAAATTCTTAAAAACTGTTTTTGTTATAAAGACTTGGGAAAACTAATTTAATAAAAGGGTTTTTGGAAAAAGGGTGGTTTTACTTTTTGGGGGGTAGTTTTTATTTTTTAAAAAATTTGGAAAAAATTTTTTTTTAGGGTTTTAAAAATTTAAATAAAGGTTTTTGGGGGGGGGGGGGTTGGGGTAGGGGGAAGAAAATAAATTTAAAGATGGGGAGGTTAAGTTTGGAATTTTGGGAGTTTTTAATAAAGGTTGGGTGGAAATTTTAATTTTGATTGGCTTAGGTAAGAATTAGTATTTTTTGTGGTTAGGTTTTTGAATTAATATTTGTAATGTAAAAAAAAATGGGAACCCTTTTAAACCTAAAATAAAAGCCAGGTGGGGGGGTGAAAAAACAAGAACACACCAGTCAAGAGCTTTAAACACCTAAAAAGAACCCCAGGGGGGAAGAGCTGGGAAACCCCTGAAACCGGGTGGGGAAGACTGGTGTAAAATAAAAGTAACAAAGCCAGGGGGGCAAGGCTTTTGTAAAATAACAAGTAACCCCGCGTGGGCAAGCGGGGTGAACCCATAACAAGTAAAACAGCCGGTGGGAAAAGCAGCTGGGAAAACCCCATAACAAGAAAACACAGCCGGGTGGGCAAGATTTTGTGTAACACCAATTAACACAGCCGGGTGGGCAAGCGCTGGGTAACACCAAAAAAGAAACACACCAGGGGGGCAAGCAGCTGGGGTAACCCCATAAAAAATAACACAGCCAGGTGGAAAGCAGTGGGGTAACACCAAAACAAGTAACACGCCGGTGGGGAAGAGCTGGTGAACACCAAACAACACACCCAGGGGGGCAGGCGCTGGGAACCCATAAAAAGAACACAAGGTGGAAAGCACGGGGTTAACACCATAAGTAAACGCCAGGTGGGCAAGCAGCGGGTGTAACCCCAAACAATTTAACAGCCAGGTGGGAAACGCTGGGTAACACCATAACAATACAGCCAGGTGGGAAACAGCTGGGTAACCAAAACAAGTAACACACCCAGGTGGGAAAAGAGCGGGTAACACCTCAAAACACAGCAGGTGGGAAAGCGCTGGGTAACCCATAACAAAAACACAGCCGGGGCAAGCAGTGGGTAAACCCCAAAAAAGAAACACACCCGGGGGCAAGCAGTGGGGTAACACATAAAAATAAACCCGGGGGGCAAGCACTGGTGTAACACCAAACAAAAACCAGGGGGGCAAGCAGCTGGTGTAACACCCTAACAAGTAACACGCCGGGGGGGCAAGCAGTGGGTAACACCATAACAATAACACAGCCAGGTGGGAAAGCAGCAGGGGTAACCATAAAAAGTAAAACACCCGGTGGCAAGCAGCGGGGGGTAACCCCATAACAAAACACAGCCAGGGGGGCAAGAGCGGGGTAACACCTACAACACAGCCAGGTGGGCAGGCGGGGTGTACCCCTAACAATAAAAAGCCGGGTGGGCAAGCACTGGGTAACCCCATAACAAGTAACACACCAGGGGGGGAAAGCAGGGGTGAAAACACCAAAACAAGTAACACACCCATGGGAAAGCAGGGGAAACCCCTAACAAGAAACACAGCCAGGTGGCAACAGGGAAACACCATAAAAAGAAAACACCCAGGGGGCAAGAGCTGGGGAAAAACCTACAAACACAGCCAGGTGGGAAAGCCTGTGAAAACCCCCATAAATTTAACAAAACGGTGGGCAAGCAGCTGGGTAACACCTAACAATAACACACCCAGTGGGAAAGCAGCTGTGAAACACCATAACAGAAACACACCAGGTGGCAAGCAGCTGGTGAAAACACATAACAAGTAACCAGCCGGGGGCAAAAGCGGTGTAACCCCAACAAGAAACAAGCCGGGTGGAAAGCACGGGGTAACACCATAAAGTAACACACCCAGGTGGGCAAGCACTGGTGAACACCATAACAAAAACACAGCAGGTGGAAGCAGGGGTGTAACACCATAACAAGTAACAAGCCAGGGGGGGCAAGCGCGGTGTAACCCCTAACAAATAACACAGCGGGTGGGCAAGCAGCTGGGTAACCCCATAACAAGAACAACCGGTGGGCAGAGCGGGGTGAACACCATAAAAAGAAACAACCAGGGGGGGCAAGCAGCGGGTAAAAACACCATAACAAGTAACAAGCCGGGGGGCAAGCAGTGGGTAACACCATAACAAGTAACACGCAGGTGGCAAGCACGGTGTAACACCATAACAAGTAACACACCCGGGGGGGCAAGCAGCTGGGTAACACCATAACAAGAACACAGCGGGGCAACACGGGTGTAACCCCATAAAAGTAACACAGCAGGGGGAAAGCAGCTGGGGAAAACCCCATAACAAGAACACGCCAGGTGGGCAAGCAGCTGGGTAACCCAAAACAATAACCAGCCGGGGGGGGGAAAAGCAGGGGGTGTAACACTAAAAGTAACCACCCAGGGGGGGAAGCAGCGGTGTAACACCATAAAATAACACAGCCGGGGGGAAAGCAGCTGGGGAACACCAAAACAATAACACAGCCGGGTGGGAAAAGGCGGGTGTAACCCCAATAACAAGCACAGCCAGGTGGCAAGCGCTGGGGAACACCATAAAAATAACACAGCCGGGGGGCAAGCAGCTGGGTAACACCATAAACAATAACACAGCGGGTGGCAACAGGGGTGTAAACCATAACAAGTAACACACCAGGGGGGCAAGCCTGGTGTAACACCAAAACAAGTAACCAGCCGGGTGGGCAAGCGCGGGGTAACACCATAACAAGTAACACACCCAGGGGGAAAGAGTTTGGGTGAAACACCTAACAAGAAAACCAGCCAGGGGGGAAAGAGTGGTGTAACACCATAACAAGTAACACAGCCAGGTGGGAAAAGCAGCTGGGGTAACCCATAACAAGAACACAGAGGTGGCAAGCAGTGGTGTAAACCATAACAATAACACACCCGGGTGGGCAAGCACTGGGGTAACACCAAAAAGTAACACACCCAGGGGGGAAAGCAGCGGGTAAAAAAAAACCAAACAAAAATTAACACAGCCAGGGGGCAAGCAGCTGGGGTAACACCATAAAAATAACACAGCCAGGGGGGCAAGCAGCGGGGAAACACCATAACAATAACACAGCCAGGGGGGCAAGCAGGGGGTGTAACACCATAACAAAAACACAGCCGGGTGGGCAACGCGGGGGTAACACCAAAACAATAACCACCCAGGGGGCAACACTGGGTAACACCATAAAAAGAAACCGCCAGGGGGGGAAGCAGCTGGGGGAAAACACCATAACAATAACAACCCAGGGGAAAACACTGGAAAAACCCATAACAATAACACACCCAGGTGGGCAAGAGCTGGTGTAACACCATAACAATAACACAGCCGGGGGGCAAGAGCTGGGTAAAAACCCAAAACAAGAAACACACCAGGTAAAAGGTTAAAATAACAAGAAACACAGCCAGGGGGGGAAGAAAGGGGGGTAAACCATAACAAGTAACAAAAACCAGGGGGGCAACACGGGTTTAACACCTAACAAGTAACACAGCCGGTGGGCAAGGCTGGTGTAACACCATAAAAATAACACACCCAGGTGGGAAAGACGGGGGTAACCCCATAACAAGAACACAGCCGGGTGGGCAAGCACTGGGGAAACACCATAACAAAACCAGCAGGTGGGCAAGCGCTGGGGTAACACCATAACAATACCAACCAGGTGGGAAAGACTGGGTAACCCTAACAATAACACAGCCGGGGGGGCAGAGCGGGTGTAACACCAAACAAGTAACAGCCAGGGGGGAAGCACTGGGTAAACCATAACAAGTAACACGCCAGGTGGGCAAGCAGGGGGGTAACCCTAAAGAAACCACACCCAGGGGCAACAGCGGGGGTAAACCATAAAAAGAAACACAGCCGGGTTGGGAAAGAGCTGGGTAACCCATAACAAGTAACACAGCCGGGTGGGAAAGAGCTGTGTAAACATAACAAGTAAAAAAGCCAGGGGGGGGCAAGCAGGGGGGTTAACCCATAACAAGAAACCACCCAGGTGGGCAAGCAGCTGGGGTAAACCCATACAATAACACAGCCAGGGGGGCAAGCAGCTGGGGTAACCCTAAAAGTAACACAGCCAGGGGGGGAAGCAGCTGGTGTAACCCCTAAAAAGAAACACAGCCAGGTGGGCAAGCAGGGGGTGTAAACCATAAAAAGTACACAGCCGGGGGGAAAGCACTGGGAAACCCAAAAAAATAACCCCAGGTGGGCAAGCACTGGGTAAACCATAACAAGTAACAAGCCAGTGGGCAAGCAGCTGGGTAACCCAAAACAAGTAACACACCCGGGTGGGCAAGCACGGGT